GTGGGAACTAGATGGGAAAAACTATAGTGGGAAGAAGGATGGGAAAAACTATATGGGAACTAGATGGGAAAAACTATGTGGGAAGAAGATGGGAAAAACTATGTGGGAAGAAGATGGGAGAACTATGTGGGAAGAAGATGGGGAAAACCATGTGGGAAGAAGATGGGAAAAACTATATGGGAACTAGATGGGAAAAATTATTGGGAAGAAGATGGGAAAAACTATGTGGGAACTGGATGGGAAAAACTATGTGGGAACTAGATGGGAAAAACTATGTGCGCGTTAGATAGAAAAACTGTATGGGAACTAAATGGGAAAAACTATGTGGGTGCTAGATGGGAAAAACTATGTGGGGACTAGATGGGAAAAACATGATGTTATTAACATTATTAAAACATAATGTTATTGACATTATTAATAACATTAATTTTTCCTAAGGTTAATATTAATGTTATTAATAATAGTATTGTTACCTTCTTCGTCTTTGTGGTATGGAACCTGTCGGAATACTCAGTCCCTCCACTACGTCAATGCCGTACCCAACGGAGGAGATATCATCTTCAAAAATCCTAAATGTCAATGTAATAGTCGCGTGACATGTATATATCCTTTATTAAAGAATCGTTGTTTCAATTCATTTAATCAATCGTTAAATAAACATTTATTATTATATTCAATTACATTTCATATAATACAACGTTTGATACCACTTAATAACGAAAAAATGCGAAGAAACGCGAAGAGACGCGCACTACTATCTGTCCGTACGAACAGTTAAAGAATGAAAACACGCGGGGCACTCGTAAACACGGTGTGCGCTATTCGCTATACGTATAATATGCGAGCGCTAGACGCGGCGTAAATAATAGTCAAGACTCACGCTCTTACAATATGTGTAAAACAAAATTCAACAATATTACGAATAATATTTAACTGAGGCACTATAACGTCTGGACCTGTACGGCATTTTTTCCATAAGGTGTGAAATTCTTACTGCCATGCGTGATTTTCATCCGTGAAGTGTATAGAAATTGTTCTCATAATTGGAAGGATCTGTCAAAAATCCAGTTTAATATGATTTTATTTTTCTGGATACTCCAAAAAATGTTTTTACGGCGAAACGTTTGCAATTGGCGTGAAGTGATTACTCACGGAAATGTAAAAATATTTTTCTTTCTGTCTGAAAAGTGACGGAAATGAAATATTCAACAATATTATGAATAATATTTAATTTGACACGAGGCGCAACTTTCTTTTTGTCTTTTTGTAACTGGACGTTGAATAGTGTAATCTTTACACTAAGTTTTAAATAGCTTCTGAATAATATATCATCATGCATTTACTGTTTTCTTTAATAGACGTTATCAAAGATAGATTATGCAGATATCTTATGTGTGTTACAATAAACAATTGTTAAATAAATTAGCTGTCGCTATACATATGTATTATTAAAATACTATGCAAATTTCAATACAATCCAGAATTTAAAAATATTTAATGTTGAAGCTATTTGAATTAGGCTATTATGATAAAGATAATCGTCCATTGATTATCATGAATCTATTATTATATTGTATATTATTTCAAATTTATAATAGAATAAATTACATTAAACATTTTTGATAATTTGTCGATATGCTTTTTTAATATTAATTTATATTGTAATTTATATTGTATAAAAAATAATAAATATAAGAAAATCTAAAATATATGTGTAAAGAAAAAAGGACTATCGATTAAAATCGGCCGAGATGATGGAGGGTCACCATAAATTGATCAGTTTCTAAACATACAATAAAAGTCAGCATAGAAATTTGTTATAATTAACGAGGTTTGACTCTCGTTAAAACTGTATGTAAATAATCAGCATGACACATTTCCGTCAAATGTGCTGCTACAAATATTCGTAACTGGTACAAAATTATTAATTGTTGGAATTTTATCTTGAAGTGATTACATAATTATTTAATAAACTTAGAACTAACAAGAACTTTTGACGAATGTCATAATATGTCCAATTACTTCTTATACTTTAGGAAAATCTTTAGGAAGATATGTGAAATTAGTACATTTATTTTTATTTTTTAATTTAAAAATATGAAACTTTATTTAATATTTATCAGAAACTGTAGAACTATGAAAAATACTGAAATTATCTTCTATCTTTTAAAAATAATAAAAACGTCAACTTCACATAAATTTTTTTTTGTAGATTAAAATACTGATTAATTTTAACAGCATATATATATATATATATATATATATATATATGTGTATCAATACGCTATTTATATCCAAAAGCATAAAATAACATTTTATTTTAATATCATTATTTTGTTGACAATCTCTTTTTCCATAAATATGCTATATACATGTATATGTATATATAAATATGACATATTGATAAATGTAATTAGTGTTCATCAATACTTTATTCTACAACAAAAAAATTACGCGAACGTAAAATTATAATTATACATTTATATAAATGTATAATTATATAAATAATCCACGTATAATTATATAAATATACCCATGTTTTGGAAAGTTCGTGAATTGTCAAAGTAGCATGGATACACAGAATGGGATTTTATCGGCAGTGTCAAAAAATGGAAGTGACTACTTAATTTTAATATGCTAAAATGGAACTTAAGAACGATAATGTACTAACAAGATTCGTCCCACAAAAAAAAAGGCGGGATAGTCGCTTTCAGGCTTCTCCCTGATGGGAAGCACGTGATTGTAATGTTTGACCAGTTAACCTGTACATGAAGCGTTGTTTATTATTATCCAAATGTTTTACAAATATGTAATTACAGCAGAAAAGTAGTGTATATTTTTGTAAAATTGTATTTTCGCAATTATTATTTGCGAACTACATACGCATCTAATGAGCGCTAATGAGAAGTTTGAGGGTTAGGTTGGCACATACGCTCGTTACGAATTATAATTTATAGCTGAAAAAAAGCAAAGCTTTTAAAGGAAAAGTTTTTAATTTTGATAAATACGATGCAACATAGTTTGTTTTCTCAGAATGTGCATACGAAAAATCACGATTAAGATAGATTTGTATATATGTAATTAAGGTTTATAACACCTTTATTTATACGATTGTTTGACTTTCTCTAAGTGTTTTTGAGTGCTGCATTTAGAAGAAAGTCCAGTATCATGACTGGTACTATGAGACAGCTAGAGGAGCGTCAGCTCCCCGCAGAGGTGACGACGATGTTATGGTCACCAAAAATGGATCTTTTAGCAATTAGCAATGTAAAAGGTTAGATTTAAAAACTAATATTTTAAAGACTGTTGGCCAATATTTATTTTCCTCTTATTTGATTTATAAATAAGCTGAATTATTTATTTCAATTAACTTTAACTAATGTATAACATGGAATTTAGAAAATTCAAAAGTCACTACTTGTAAAATGCAAAATTTTATAGGTGAAGTCGTTCTTCATCGACTCACATGGCAGAGGGTGTGGTTATTGAGCCCTCAAGAAGAGTCTGATACCTCTGTTCATCTGGCATGGAGACCAGATGGAAAGCTTCTTGCAGTATGCTATGAAATTTCCAAACAACTCTGTCTTGTTGATGTTGAAACTAAGAATATTATTCATAAAACCAAATTGCCAGGCAATGAATCTGCTGTCTGTATCAAGTGGTTGTCGTTGTCCAACACTGAACATGAAAGTTCATTGACGAACGATAAAACTAATAAACCTACCGGCGAATACCTACCACCTCTACCTAATTTAATTAGAAGTTACAGTACAGAACCTGAACGGAAAGAATTTTTAACTCATAGTTTAGATATGCTCTTTGCAAGTATCTTGTATTGCAATCCTAATAAATCTAATATTTCTAATTGTTTATTAATAATAACAGTCATATATTTTTTACAGATTGGTCAAAAAAATGGTACAGTTTTAATGTATATCTTTGGTATGTTTTATTGTGGCACTATATCTGTGGGGCATGGAGAAATTTTACAGATTGTAGGTGGAGCTAATGATCCAATATGGATTACATGGAAATACAATGATAATTATGTTAAGATAACTAGAGTGTCTTGTCCACTGTTTGAGAGAAGTACAGCATTTCTCAAGGTTACATTTTCAATTGTATCTATAAGAAAGTTTTAAAATAGAAAACATTTTTTCCTGAAATATTTTACGCGTGATAATCTAGAAGTTTATATTTTAAAGAAAGACAAATAGAGAATTTATATATTTTATTTTCAGGTTGCGCAAATTCAAGCCAACATAGAATGTTTGAAAGATTATCTTTCACGTACTTTGATGGCCACCTGTGAAGCTTGGGAGACAATACTTTTGGAAATGGATGAGAAACTCACACGATATGCAGAGGCAAATCAACCTGGTGTTATGGCCGCGGATTTTCTAGAATTATTAATGATTGGAATACCCACAAAAAGCTTAGAAACTTTTCTACTTCGAGATCTCACGGAGAAAGGATTGAAAAAATTTGGACACAGTATTGAAATGTGTTATTGCAACATACAGGTATTGCAAAGAATACTTTAGATATTCTTTTAATTTAATCATGTAATTATCTATTTAAGCTACATTGATTATGCATAAGTTTTGAATATCAATGATTACTGTCCTAGAAACTGGTCTCGAAAAATTTAACTAGTGTGGGTATGGCTTTGGTTTATCAATTAACTGAATTGAGAGGTATGGCAAGAGTAGGCGGTACATACGAAGCGTTAGGTTTACGTGACGAAACACTCATAACTAATGCTATTAATGAATCTGAAGCTTTCTTGGCAAAATCATATGAAATCGAGCAAGTTATAGATCAGAGTATGCGCAATTACAAAGCATTTTTCCGGTACGAGTCACAAAAATTGAATGTTTAGCTACTGTTTGTATTTAATTGTTTTAATTTGTTTTTGTATTTTTATAGATGGCTGTACGTAGCGATTCTTCAACTAACGGACGAAAGAGCACCATCGGAAGTGAGCCGTGTAAGTCAACAGGAATTAACATTTATCGCAGAATTTCTGAGTGACTTCGACAAGCCAAGAGCAAATGGCAGAGTAAATTTGGAAAAATTGGGTCAATATCTACGTCATGAAAATCTGCAAACTCCCTTAACTTCAGAGGGAAGTGAATGGGCTGCCATGCTCGATGAAAACGATTGTTTGCGCGATTATGCACATATAGTAAAGCAGAATTTTAATTTATCTTTATTACAATCTCATACAAAATTAGTCGCTGCTGTAGAAAATGTTTTTGCCAAAGCCTACCAAAGCTTGGTTGATCACTTCATGATGCTCTCTATCTCTTTACCATCATTTATATCTCTTTTTACTACCAGTTACATTTCGCAAATTGTAACAAACGATAGAAATCTCTTGTTAGCTATAAGTGATGCTGACAGTAAATTTTTAAGGCTTTTTAATGTCAAGTATTCATCAATAGAACCTGTATCTCTTAGTTCAAAAATGGCCACGATAGATGTGGGTCACAAGCAAGGTTAGTAATATTACATATTGCGCATTATTTCTCTATTATGTTATAAAAATAACTAATTTTTCCAGCATGTCTTGGAGAATATTCAAAGGAAAGCATCGACACTGTAATAGCAGATCTGCAATTTTACTCACAAGATTATCTCAGCTTGCTTATATTAAATAAACAAACTCGTGCATCATTTCTCATACAACTGCCATTACATATTTCTAACGTATCTATATTCGAATATCAAGATGACGATACAATAATATCAATAACAGATTTTATCGGTGCAACGTGGCCGAAACCATTTTTGGGAATATCTGCAAGACGACTAGCGGTCAGTGGCCCTCGAAAAATAGCCGCTATTTTGAGTGAAAATAATAGAAAGATTCGTTTAATCGAAACTGAAGCGGAACCCGAAGATGAGGAAGATGATGACGAGGAGGAAAATCGATTTGTAGAAAGTATGATGGATACTACACCTAGTGAACATTTGCCTGCGAAAACAACAAAAACTGATGGACAAGAGTTTTATAAAGAAGAAAACAGTTGAAATAGAAGTGAAACACACTTATGAATTTATACATATAAAAAAAATTATGTTTGCGAATAATTTTTTAGACTGAAAAATCTTGATTTAACTTAATTATTTATTCTCAAAGTCGATATTAAACTTATTTATTGTAAATAATTATGGAGTTATTATGAGATATATATTCTATATACAAGATATATATTTCTAAAATATTATAATAATTATTAATATTGCAAAAATTAATTAACTATACATTATTTTCATGACAAAAGATAAATATCAAGTAATAATATAATAATTTGTTGAAAAATATTACATTTAAGAGGATAAAAAAGATACTAAAATAACAATTATCTATCTACAATATGTATATGTATACAAGTATAATTTATGGCATCGCTTGTTCTTTTTGCATTTGTTTAAATACTTTAGGGAAATCAATGTCAAAAACAGCATTATCCATTCCAACGTTTTCGATGTCTGATGAAACTCCCGGTCTATTATTTGGTGTATATCGCTCTGGAGAATTTTCTCTTGATTCTTCCAGATCTATAAAAATGATTGAAAGATTATTCCATTTTCAATGAAAGTACATTTTCTTCTTGTATATAAATTTTCATAAAAAAAAAATTTACCGAAGAATCTGTGACTTCTTCTTCTTTTAACAATAATAATTAGAAGAATGACAGCTACAGCAACAACCAATACCGTAACAGCAGTCATTCCCCGCAACAGGTTCGTCTATTGAAAGATACAATTATTTTAATAAAATATAAAGTTGCGACTTTTTATATATGTTATACTTTAAGTACCTCAAAATCATTCTCCCAAAGTTGCTCCCAATCGTTCGTAACTATCAATTCAACAGAATGAACTTTCAATTGAGAATCATCAAATAGACCCTTTGAAAAACATTTATAAAATCCAGATTCTGCCGACGACACACCCTAATTATGAATTGCAAGATATATAATCTTGTTATATTGCTTACAAATACAAGTTACTTAAAAAAAATTATAAATTACTAAAAACTTACTCTAATTTGAAGTGTACCAGTCAACACTTCGTAATTATATTTCTTTTCATTTATAGGATTTCCCGGACCGATGACATTGTTAGTTCCAAATTGCCAGAACATAAAACGATGATGTTCATCAATACTTAAACATGGAAGTTCAGCCAAGTGTCCAGCTATCACTTCTTTCACTGTTACTAAGTCAGTTACTTCAGCTTCAGATTTTTGTAACATGAATGATGAATAAAAAAGTATAAAAAGCCACATTGTCACCTAAAAGCCAATGTTATAAACATTACAATTCAAACAAAAGAAAAGAATCAGATAATATGTATTTCTTATTATATATGTATCTTTTTGTTTGTTAAATTGTATATGTCAAATAACTAAATTGTATCTAAGAAAAAAATGTTAAATTTATAGAAATACATTCAATTACTGTACTCTATCATGAATCTATCATCTAATGTTAGCAAACTGTTAGACATGACTACTCTGTCTTCCTGTTTTATCCCATAATTACATTCTAATTACACTTAATCACCCTTTTCTTCACAATTGCTGCAAAACCAGTTTGTTGTTCACAGATGATTGTCATAATAATTATTATTCAATACACGCAACAAAGAAAAGGACTTCTCTAAATGAATGTTGTATAATCATATGAATGGCTCTTTTTTCTCTCTCCTTTATATGCAATTACTGATTTGCTTCTATTTTTTCTGTTGAATCTGATAACACTAGTGAAAATGAATGAGTTTATATTGGAAAACACTTTCATTTACTGACGAGAAGATTGCTACAACAAGCACTGTCATGGAGTTGCTTATTTTTAACTCTGTCCTATTTGGCCTTGTAATACCAAGTATTTATAGTTGATTAGACCTATATCTTGCAATTGCTCTATGTTCTAAGATCTTATTATAAATCAATCTACTCTAACGGAAGAACAATCTAGCATATTTAAATAAAAAAATAAATAAGTAGAATCAATGAATAGATATATTTTTATACTTTTATATAATTGATGTACAATATCCGATATGTATAAAACAAATTATTATCCACGTTTTATAACGTTAAAATATAAATTGAACATAATATAAAAGTAACAGAGGTATGTTAAGTATAATATGTATATATTTGATTATATACAGCATAATATATTCAAGATAATTTGATATTAATATAACAGTACGTACATATTTTTAAATAACTTGAAACAAGTTGAAACTCCATCGTCAATACCTAGACTGATGTATTAAATGGATGAAAACATCTACTGCTAATACTGGAAGAAGCAACCAGAATGGTGCTAGCACTGCTTTGGCTGGTAGAGACCAGTGAGGAGCTTCCAGTTTTAGACAAATTAAAATCTGAGCACACATCTTCAAAATCACAGCTATCATGTACCATGCCTGAAACAATTTTATGGTTCATTAAAATATAATCTTTTTTCAGTTAACTAAGAATCGATTATATCGTTTCAAAATCATAAAATTTTTCTTAATTATCACATTAGTCTTTTTGTAAAAAACAATTCGGTATTTGTTTATATATTATATATACGCAATAAAAATATCTTCTACTGCGAAAGAAAGATCTGTATCTTCCAATTATTGTTCAAAGCTATAAGACACTTACTTCCCTCTGCAAACTATTGACACGGCCGTTCTTGCAATGCGAGATCATATTGAACACAATGTAAATAAGGAGAATGTTGTCGTAGAGCCACATTGGGATGAAAACTATGAACCAATTCCATTGTATTCTCTGATCAAGTCTCAGGACCAGCAGGATCAAAAATATGAGCAGATTGAACCAGGTAAAAAGAGCGCGATGCAAAACCGCCATTAGTAGACTTATATTTAATTAATAATAATACGCGGTTTCGTAAAGTCTGTGCTATTCATTGATGTTTGACAATCCTAACCTTTTGTCACCAACCTTTTGTAAGCATGCTAAACTACTCTGTTTTATCAACAGATATTATTATTATTATTGCTAATACAAATATTTTACAGAACTTCGCAAGATGACGCTGTATATTCGAATTAAAATCACTTGCAATTTTTAAAGGACGAGAATCTGTTTTTAAAATCATAATTTATCCTTGAATAAGATTTATAACTTGTTGTGTTCTTTGCCTTAAAAATGGTTTCAAAAAAATCAGTAATAAAACAATCTTAAAAAGAATATAGCTAAAGAAAAGAAAACAAAAGTTTAATCTATGATATCCATAAAACATACATAGAATAATAAATATATTCTGGTACACTGAGAAATTTCAATATATTATAATAATTAGTATATCAGTAATTAGTATATCAGTATATTAGTATATCAGTGATAGAAATAAAAGAAAAATAGAATTGATAAACAAATATTTAGTTTATCAAATGTTAGTTTATTTTAAAAATGTTATTTGTCAAATAAAGCGCAGAAGCTAAATTTAATTAAATTATTTAATTTATTTATTATTATTCATTTTGAATAAATTGAATTTTTTTGTATATTAAAATGCATCTCATCCTATATATTATAAATATTAACTTTAAACTTATAACTGCGTGCAAAAAAGGAAGTTGTTCAAACTATCAAACTATTTAAATTTTGTTCACAGCGATTATTCTGTATCAATTTTTTTTTAATTCTATATGAAACATATGAATTATACTTTAACAATTAAGCCTTGAATAAAAAATAGTCAGTAATGAGAAGTCAAGTGTAAGACTGTTATTATTACGTCACATGAGTGACGTAATAATTTGCAGTACCTATTATTTTTCCCCGTGTCATTGCGATAAATTATATTTGGACACGCTTATTTTATACTGGGTATTTATCATCAAATCTCCTATCACTTCCCTATTCTGAAAATGTCGAACTTCCCCTCCACCTATTTTGAAGTCTGCTTTTTCGATAAGCAACTTTCTTATTTTCTATTATTCCATTTCTACCAACGTAGATTAATTTTAATCTTTGATTTGAATTACTTTTTATTTATTTTTTTCAATTTTAAAAATTAGAAAAAGAGTAAAAGTTAATTTGTATTGGCAGAAATGGAATTTGTTTTTTCGTTTCTTTCAAGACCAGGTTATTTTAATTTTCTAATGTACAGAATAAAAATATCATGCTATTTTTTATTCGCTCATTACATATATAATTTTACACCAAACATATCGAAAAAGCAACACAGCAAGAAATTTAATTTACATGTTAGTAGATAGTTTAGAATAGAAAGGCTCAGAATATTACTATCCTTGAACCATCAAGGAGTGAAATTGCGTGTTGCTTATCGGCGACCAATAGAATCATATGAGGAGACGTCATCGTGAGATTAACAAACGACAGTTGCGTATCTCGCAAATTGTAGCTAAAGAATTTAGAATAAAAGAGAAAAGAGAAAGCAAAAAACAAATACAAAAAAGAGATAAGAGAAAAAGAAGAGGAAACAAAACAGAAACGATCAAAAGAAGAAAAAAATTCATTTATTACGTGTTAGCTACACTCTTGTAACGTAATTATTATTATTGTCTGACAATAGTCCGATATTTTTAATATTATTAAATTAATTTCGTAAACAATTACGATATTTTCGACTGTAATAGATTTTCATCGCTCTAAAAATAATTAATGACGTAATCAAAGGTTCTGCTTTGATTTAAAAAAACTGAATATAATTATATTAAAATAGTTAGACGCTTAATTCAAAAAGATATATCAAAAATATAATTATATATATGAATTATTTCACAATAAATCTATTGACAACGTAATATTTCACACTTTTTTAGTCGAATCTGAAATCAACAATATTTCCAATGTCATCAACTTTGAATTCCTACAATCGAAAACTACGCTATAAATTAAAAGCGTAAATGGAAAGCGTTTTTTGCTTATCTTTGCGAAAAAGGAGAGAGGGAAGAGAGGGAACAGAGAAAAAATATTAGTTACACCAGTGCCGGATGGCAATCAGTATGATTTGTCTCTCGATACGTGAGTACAATGTCGATCTGTCACTCCGTATTTGTCTCTCTAGATCTTTGTGAATAGATCGATTCAACATTTTTCGTCAGTCGAACTAAATAACGTACATCGAGTGCATGTCGTTACAGCTGCTCGAGAACTCAGAGGAATTTTACGAGTGTGCCTATGCGCGGATACATTCTTCAACAGAGCTGAAATAAATAAAGAATATGGACGCGACAGATGATTCTCAAGTACGTAATACTTCACACTGACGGATCGTTAGATTCGGATTTAAAAAACAAAATCGAATTGCTTCCATTTTCGAAAGCGGAAACATGAAAAGTAATCGCCATCGAGCATGTGGAAATTTGATAATGATTGTTCTTCTTGAGACGAAAAAAAAGCGAATTTCCGAGATTTAATCTTTATATCGATAATCTTTTTTTCTCCTATTGTTCATTTTTTAAATTTTATTTATTATATTACTGAGAAATAACGATAATTTTATTTACAAACGCGCAAGCGAATATTCTGCATGTATTTTGTCGATGGCTATGTTTTATGCAGATCGCCTTCATGGATTGTTGATTTGTCGGCATCTCAATGTAATGAGTAATTTTGTGTAATGACTGTGTAATATATTGTTAAAAACGTAACAGAAACAAGTTAAGAAACTAATCTTTATATAATCCATCAGCGAGATCAGAAAAAGTTGAATGTGGAATTGATATGCTAATCATTACATGTATATTTAACACATTACATGTATATTTAATGTTCGTTGTTCAAACATTATTTTTATACCTGTGTCAGTTGCTGATATCAGAATTATAAATGTTATTTATTATTTAAAATAAAATGAATGTGTATATCAAGCTCTTTGGAAAGAAAAAGAGGAGAAATGGAAAGTGCAATTAAAAGGTAATTTTGATTAAACCATTTAACTTCTAATCGGCGATTAAGCAGCATGCGATATTTTGTTAATGAAAATAAAATTACTAATTTCTTGTTGCTCACGCATAAACAAAATCAAATTAGAAGTAATTAGAAGTTTGTATAGTCAGAAATATTATTGTAAATAATTCATGTCCATTTCTATCAAAATATCTATTAATTATGATCTTGGTTTAATTTATTCTATCTTTTTTCAATATCTTTTTCCTAGAATTAAAAAAAGATGAAAAATAAACCGAGATTGAAATTAATTTATAGATATATTGATATAAATGAATGTCAACTGACTATATTAATCATCGATTTAATTAATCTCTTCATATAGAACCCGAACCTCAACAAAAAACAGTTTTTTTGTTTTGTACTCCCTCTCTTTCTTTCCTTAGCCTAAAAGAAGACTGCAAATAAAATAAAATAATCATATCACGCGAGTGCTATCTGTTCATTTTACTAACGTTTTCACTTCAAGAGATAATAAAATATATCTTCTAACAGACAAAAAAGAATACGAAGTCGAAAATTCGAAGTCTGACGTTCGCGATTTTCGTTCTTTTTTTTTTTCCTTTTTGCTGACCACGCGATAATAGAAAGACCGCGCGATAATGAAAGGCATCGAGAGATATGCGCGTATAGAGATATGCCCCTGATCGGCGCGGCCGATGCCGATGGTAAAAAAGCACGCGGCTTTCAGCCTCAACATAACACATAACATAATGCCGCTATAAATACGTCCGCCTAATGGTCCTATCCCGAAAACGCGAGAAGCCGAGTCTATTATGGCGGATTAGAGCGAGTTCCGGAGTTCGGCGGCGCGTGTCCCCGAACTGATCCGACACTGAGTCGCCCGGGGAATCGTCGTCCCGGGCGAGAGCAGCGCCTCGATTCTGGCGATCTCGACGCGTTGCGTCGCGTCTTCGCGCTACGATCACCGCCGGCGCTCTGCCCTTTAACCTCTCCGTCGGATCCACGTGCACCACCGTCGGCCGCGATGTCGAACGTACGAGCATTGGTAAGGCCCGCTTTTTGACTGAAACGATTACGATCGCGAATATCACAGAGGAATATCGTTTCGCGAGTGTCGGCGATTTGTACAGTGGGCGCGGTGTCCTTTTTTTTTTTTTTTTCTAACGATGCCTTATGTTCATTCTTACCAATTCAGATTAACTTTCGTCTCGGTTTAACTTACTTTTTATCTTATTTTATTTTAGGAATTAGAAAAAGAAAATCGGTAAATTAAGCCGAGATTAAAGTTAAATTGATAGAAATACGAATGGACTTTTTTATCAATTTATATAAAAGTTGTTCTGTGAAGATACGGTAATAGCTTTTGTGCGAATGTTGGATATAAGATCATTATTTATTTACATCTCTGAAACGCTTGATTTGCAAAAATTCTTAAAATTTAACAGGGGAAATCTTTTTTAAAAATATTAGAGTTTACTTTCTTTTGTATCTCAAAAGAAAGATGAGCTTTCAAAATCAAGATTAAGGATGTTCTATAAGTTATGTTAAAAATAAAATTTTATGTCCAGATAATGCCAGTCTTGACTGCTATGGGAACAGTAGTTGTTATAGGAGTAGTATTTAAAATATATAAAATTTGGAGTGAGAAGAAGAAATCTGCACCGATATTGCTGGTTGATCCAGTAGTTAAGTATAGTCTACCTCTAATTCAAAAAGATGAGATAAGTCATGACACCAGAAAGTTCAGATTTGAATTGCCAACGCCAAATCATGTGTTGGGTTTGCCTGTTGGTCAGCATGTACACTTGACAGCGAAAATTGGAGAGGAAGTGGTGATACGTTCATACACACCTGTTTCGAGCGACGACGATCGCGGCTACGTAGATCTCGTCATCAAGGTAAATGAAATGCAATGCATAATTGATGACAATGAGAAAAAAATGCACTTTAATTATGTGTGGTTTTCAGGTATATTTCAAGAATACACATCCAAAGTTTCCCGAAGGTGGAAAATTGTCTCAGTATTTGGAAAATATGAAAATAGGGGATACTATTGACTTCAGAGGTCCGTCTGGCAGATTAGTTTACAGAGGGAACGGTAATGTCTCTATAAAACTTCTCAGGAAGGAACCGCCTACAGAATATAACGTTAAAAAGGCAAGTGTATTTGCTGCTATATTTATATATTAATGTATTATTAAGAACTTCTATTTCTAAGATACGTAATAAAACTGTTTATATCTCTGCATAGATGGTTATGCTCGCTGGTGGTACAGGCATCACACCGATGTTGCAGTTAATTCGTGCGATAATAAAGAATCCCAACGACGAAACCCAAACTTCCTTGCTATTCGCCAATCAGACCGAGAAAGACATCTTACTACGAGACGAGTTAGACGAGATCGCTAAGAAATATCCGAATAAATTGAAACTTTGGTATACTGTAGACTCAAGTAGCGAGGGATGGCTTTATAGTACGGGATACATAAGCGCTAATATGATAAAGGAACATATGTTTCCACCATCGCCAGATACAATTGTATTGATGTGTGGACCACCTCCGATGATCAATTTTGCTTGCATTCCGAATCTTGATAAACTTGGCTACAATACTAAATTACGATTCGCGTATTGAGTACAAATTATTTCACAAAAAATAAAGATTGCAGATAGTTTACAAAGACATGCCTTTAGTACTTTAATAAAGTTAAAGACCAGTTAATTATGTTTGAATAATTCGCTTAATATTAATATAAAATATCAAATAATGCCGATGGAAGATCTGCAGAAATATTTGTTATCTATAAAGACAACTCCAACAGTATTGATAATTATTGTTATGAATTTACAACAATCAATAATGCATTTGGTTAGTGGCTTTATCCACATAAAAAGTATAGATGTCTATAAGATCAAAAATATTCATAAGGCAAACGCCAAAAGAACTCGTTTTTTTTATTTTTCATTGAGAAACACGCTGTGATTGGCAAGTAGCAAATAATTGACAAAACTTGAGAAAATGACAAATCGAATGTACGCGATATAAATATTTGCCTTATCATTGAAATGTACTTTATTCAATACTGTATCTACATGTTATAAAAACGACCTGTATATAAAATAAATGAATAAAGTATGTTGCTAGTGTCTAAGATATTCATACAAGGAAATTATTGTATCTCACAGTATTTATTAATGTTGAAACTATTGTAATATTATAAAATATTAATTATAAACACATAGATGTGCTTCTTACTGTATAGTTGTAAGAGATCTCAATAGATAAGAATGTAATTCATATACAAACGATAATGGTTCAAAACATATATATTCGCTTTTCTGTAATTAATACATTAATATTAATACATTAATATTATCAAATGCATCATTGTCGATGAGAAACTAACACGATGAAAAGTTCAATTAAATACGATAATTGATTTAAGAGGCCGCACGTTGTAATTATATGAAAAATTGCAAGCAATTGTGACCGGAGTAAATGTAAAAATTTATTCTTTCATTTTTTTAACAAATTAACAATGTCCTCTATCTTGTACGCGTTTTCTAGGAGCCGCGCGCAAAATATCATCCACTCGCAGTATCATTTCCGCTGCCTCGGCCGCACTCACGACAACTTGCCTCTTCACTACCCAAGATTCGATGATTCCCAATTGCTTCATACAGCCAATTTTGCCCAATTCCATGTCTGTAAAATTAGAGATTGAATTTAATCTGACATTTCTAGCATATGAAAACTATCCAATTTTATCATATATAAAAATATATGTAATAACGTAGAAACTCGCCTAATCCCATAGTGTTGCCGCCGGAATTATGAGCGGCTCTCAACTCGCTAACTAACTGCGCTGAGTCATAACCGGCATTATCAGCGATTACAGTCGGCAGTTGTTGCAACGCACGTGCAAATGCTTCCATCGCAACCGCCTCTTTACCCGGCGTAGCTGCGGCTGCTCGCATAACAGCGCAGGCCATGATCATTTCACTACAACCACCACCATAAACTATTCTGGATTCGCGTACTGTAGCAGCTAAAACACAGAGTGCATCATGTAGCGATCTTTCGGCTTCATCAATAATCTGCTGTGTCGCGCCTCGGATAACAACGGTACATGCTTCACCCAATGGCACTCCAGAGAATCTTAGAAGTGTATCTTCTCCTATCATAACCTGAAACAATACAGTTAAGAATAAAGAGAGAATGTGGCTCCGAGAGAGAGCGGCTAATTTTTAGTCACTTCTCATCCCACGTACATCTATTTACGAGAGATTCGAAATTGAAGAGTTGAAGCTTGAGACTAAAGAAAAAAATGGTAATCCATTTTGGAAAAAAACATTTTACATAAAAAATTGTAAAAATAAATCCTAAATTTACCTGTTCAATAAGATCGCATTTTCCCAGCTTGACTAAATCGGGATTGTCAAAAGTACTGACAATCTCACCACCAGTAACGAGCGCTAATCTCTCGATACCGTCAAAGTCAGCATGCTCAATAGCCATAATTCCAGCATCAGCAAATAATTGTTCTGGATAATTGTATATCAATTGCCTATTGATAAAGACGTTGCATCCATGCTTCAAGATTTTGTCAACTTTATCCTGAAGATCACAAAAATCTATTATACACTAATTTACAAATATGCTAAAATCTGGAGATTTTATTACCTTCATTTTTTCTTTTTCTGCAGATTCCAGTTCTGCTATCTTTGCCATTGAGTCAACGCGAACTCTGGAGCCAAATACCTGCGAGTAAAAATAATATATATATATATATATATATATATATATATTAAAATATATATATTAAATATATATAAATATATATATATAAACTTTAATATATGTATTAAATTTATTACCATAATTAAAAAAATACTGTATTTACAACAGAAGACATACAAACCTTGATTTTGTCCATGTCCATAGAAGTGTTAGCAATGAGTATATGCGCGTCAGAAACTTTCTGTGGTTGATGAACACCAGGTTTTTTATCTAATAAAAATCCTTCATCCAAAAAGGAATCAGCAAGTGTTGCACCACGTTTCTTTATAACTTGAATTGCAGACAGATTGCCAGAACCTTTCAAACGCAATACTGCATCAACCGCAAGCTTGCTGAAATGTTCCTTGTGCTGGGATAAGATTTTGGAACTTAGAGTTGTGCGTGCGATGTTCAATAAATCCTCTCGGAAACAATCGGGATCTGCAGAGTTGTCTGTGGCTGCATTTTTCAGAGCTTCAGTCGCTACATTTGTAGCATTTCTCCAACCACTAATAATGGTCTGTGGATGAATCTTTTGATTTTCAATCAACTTCTCTGCTTCTCGTAAAAGCTCTGCAGCTACAAAAAAAGGAAGTCACAAATACCATTAAAAACTAATTCAAAATAATTCGAAAAATATTCAAATAAAAAGTAATATATTTACCAAAAACTGTAACCGAAGTAGTACCATCGCCAACTTCGTCATCTTGAACGCGAGACATATCAACCAAAATCTTGGCAGCGGGATTGTCAACACCAACACTCTTAAGAATAGTAGCGCCATCATTGGTGACAAGTACTTGTCCCGCAGACCTACCATGAGATACAAGTATCTTGTCCATGCCCTTAGGACCGAGAGTTGATTTCACTAAGTCTCCAATGGCTATGACTCCAACAAATGAGCTCAATCTGGCAATCTCAGCCTTTTCCTCTCCAGCCTCACTTTTGAGGATCCGCACTGGATTTAAAGAAACCTATCAATCAAGATACGACTTAATCATTCTCTCATAAAACAATTAATTTTTCATTTTATGATATAAAATGCAATCGGCCTCGAGAAATAACGATCGTTCGCGATTACATTAGAAATCAATCTACGAGTTAGGATAAGTCTCAGGTTCTACGAAAGGTAATCAAGATTGTTTATCGTTATTTGTCACGCAATTTGTTTCTTCATTACGATCTTAATGACACGTGCGATATTTGTCATGCTTCCGAAATCGGGATTTCGACTACCAGAAAAAATCATCGACATTTACTGTAATTGCAACATAGGCGATCACGGGAGGATAATGGATGGCGATAATTACCATTGCGAATCTACGCGATATTTCTTCGAAAAATCCCAAAAATTGAACCGAAAACGAAGATTCCTGACGCAACTCGATGATGGACGTTCGCGACTCGGGCCAATTCAGGCGGTTACCGCTACGCCATGCATGACTTTCGAGTGCGTGCATTTCCATGGAGCGATCGATTTTCTTTTTGTTCTGCTTGTTCATGATTCGTCATTTTTGGACGTAGACATGAGAGAGCGAATTAGGAAGTCAGACGAAAGAGAGCACTATGCACACGAACCAATCAGGATGAGCTTTGAGAAACAATCGTCTCGATCATAAAATGCGAGACTCGCTTCAACACGTCGTCATTTCGGATTTTTATTTCCTTTTAAGGCTTGATTTGAACGTTCATTCGATTTGATTTCAATGAATAATGAAATATGAATATATATATAAAATTTCAAATTATAATATGGAAAATAAATAAAAAAGACTTAATATATTAGAAAATTACGATTATATATTACAGTCCTCAGTTTTGTATTATTTATTAGTTATAAATTATTTGTATAACGTCGATTTTGCATTTCACGATTAATGAGGTATTTTTTATTAATATCTCTATATAATATATTATATAACACCCATTATTTCCATTACTGCAGTATCAAATGACCTAAAAAATATAATTATTTACATCGCTTTTTACATATAAGCATATATGTAGATTAACTTACTTAGATTTAATCTCATCGCCTGGAATGTAAAACGGATTGCAAACAGCATTGGAGTATGCAGCATGGAGCTTCTTAAAAATCTGATAATAGATTAAATATTAGTGCAGCATTAATTACAAATATCATAACAAACTATCAAGATTTTATATATAAGAAAAAAAAAGAAAAAATTACCATTTTTATTTCATTATCTCTTAAAGATACATTGGACGATTGTAATACCACGACAAATTTAATCTTTGTGTTCGTAGCATAACCATATCTGAAAATGGAAATGTTCAAATAGATTGGAATATATATATAATTTATATGTTACATAAAGCAATATCTGTGATATATACATTTTGTATTCTTCAGTTGCAAATAACAAGCCTAAATACAAGTCACGTATATCAACTGTCATTTTATTTCCTATATTCAGTTTCTCCTCTATAATATCAATTGACGTATGCACCTTGTAATGAAACTGCAGTCCAGCATTTTCATCCGCACATTGATATATTTTGATAAACTTTGGAGAGTTCTGCAAAATGTTTCATCAATTAATAATAATTCAATTTTCACAGCTCTCAAACTCTGAAGAAAATTCAATTAATTTCACAATTAAAATTTATTAAAATTTATTATTTAATAATTTAGCGATTTAACAATTGTTAAAGATTTAACAATTGGCTAAATAAAAGTTATTTGATAATTAAGCTTAATAAGTTAAAATAGAAGATTGAAGATTTCATAATTAACTAATTCAATTAATTTAATAAATCATGTGCTCGAAAACAAATTCTTATATATCTAATTGTACATCGTAACCTCTAAAAATTCAAAAACACCGTGTATACTTGCATCTTTGCCAATAACAGCTACGCAAGCGGCCATTTTAGGAGATTCTACAAAAAATACAGAAAGAAACTCGTTATAACACGCCAAGCATTTTTTGCTGATGTGTATTTTTACGCAGAGAACGATTACGAGCGATCAAAACACGAATGTCTCATAGTAATGCTACTAGGTTAGACTGACACTATTGTGCCATACATACAGTTGCTCAAATAAAGAGAAATGCTATCTAGAGAAATAATTTACTTGTGATAAAAAGTACAAGATATTTGTTAGTATATGTACATTGGACATACAATATTTCTAATTTACAATTACACATTAATTAATCTATTTGTACAAGGCACATGATGAAGCAGTAATTTAATACAGTATTATTAAACATCTGTGCACAGTTGTGCTATGTGAACTTTCCCTTTGTCACTGGTCATAGTATTGTCTCTTCAAAGTTCTGTATTTGCGCAACATATACAAAGCTTCCAGCTCCTTTATCACAAAATTACCATGACCTATCATTTTATCTATCTTCTCAGGATCGGTTTCTGTTTTATTCTTATCGAAAACTGTCCTTAGCTTGGTTCTAAAATACTGATATCCCTTTGGATAGTCCCGGCCCATGTACAATAGCTAGGACAAGTAAGACAATAGTAAGACAAGTGCCAAATTGTGTTAGGAATTTATAAGAAAACATATGTTAATTATGTAACATATATGTTAACATATGTAAATTATGTAAGAAGTAATGAGAAATGTATGCCTCTTGAACTTATTCATATCTTAACAAATATATAATAATAAATATATAAAAAGCTAGATTAATATTATATGTTGAATATGCATGTTTATGACATTTTACCGTTTTATACAGATGAATAACTTTAGTGCGTTGTGACATGACACATAATAAATCTCTGTCTAGCTGTTAAAACTATCTTGGATACGAGTTTCGCAAGTTAATTGACAAAATGATAATCATTATCATGATTATCTGAGATTGTTTCTATTGACGACCAATTGGCAACAGATGATGAAAGTCAAAAAGTTCAATGTAAATCGCATTTTACAGAGATAAAGTTTGTTCATAATTAGACACATATTGCTTATTTTTCTTTCTTTTTTTTCCTGACATTATTATATTATATTATAAATCTGTTCGTTTTGAAGCTGCACTTCTTATACAATTCTTCTTTTTTTCTTTTTTTCATGTTGAAAAAAAAAAAGATGAACCGTACAAGAAGTTAAAAAGAATAAGCCTTTTACTATTGTAAAATTTTTTAATACGATTGATTTATAAATTCAGATTTACGTTTAATTAAAAATAATTAAAATAAAATAAAATAAAATAAAATAATTAAAAGTTCAGATTACGTTTTTTTAAAATGTTTCCTCCGAGGAAAATTTCACTATGATATAATATATGTCACGTATATTATACATTTCAATAAATTTTCCTGGAGAGGATATTTTGGAATGTAGCCTAGAGTGATTTCAATGAGGAACTAAAAACAAAAACCAATAGCTGCTTTCTCTGCTGAATGTAGCCAATCATTATTAAATTATCTTATAACTAACGTGAAGCTACTTTTTTGCTGAACAGCCAGTGATATCGATTGCGTTCCGATATTCACTACCAGTACTGAAAATATATAGTTCAGGTCACGTACATTATAAATTTTCAGTACTGGCAGTGAATATCGGAACGCAGTCTAAATATCGTGTATGCGAATTTCATTTGAAAATTTTCCGAACACAAACAGATAACAATGTGATTCGGTATATTCTAGTCGTATTCAGTTATACTGTTGTGCTAATAAAAAGCGAGATTTCGCTGCGTTGTAATTGAGGTAAATTTTGATAATTATAGATATAGATATTCTTATTATTTTGATGACATTTTTATAATTTTTCCTTTGAAATAATTAATTAGACTTTATTTTCCACAAAATCAAATATCGTAATGACATTGTCTCGAATGACATTGTTACAAATTAATAAAGTGAATGTTGCGAACTGCTCCCTTTCTAAGATATTTGAAAGTTATGTTTTTTTTTGTATAACAATTTCTCTGACACGTTTCTAGTTTTTATTTTTGCGAGGTAATTTTATAAATATATAATTTTATATATATATTTTTAATATATATTTTATATATATATTGTATAATATTGTATAACATTATATAATATAATATATAATATATTATATATATAATATTTTATATATATAATATATTATATAATATATATTTTATAAATATATAATTTTATATTTGCATAAAGATATATTATTTTTATATTTAATATTTGTTTTATGTAAGTAATTTTGTCAGATACAACTTTTTTTCGATAAACATTTAATTATATTAACGATATTTTAACATTTAATTTTAACATTTAATTATATTAATGATATTCCATTATTGTAACAATATATATCTCAGTTTCTTTGTATAAAAAAATGCAATAATGCATACATTAATTTCCACCAATTTCCATGAGATTTATCAATCAATTTAATTTGACTAAAACTTTTCGATATTCACTGCCGCTATTGAAAGTTTATAATATATATGATATGAACAATTTTTAGTATTGGCAGCGAATATAGGAATATAGCATAGGTCAGCCATGTTATCAAAATGCTGATAAGTACCTAGATATATTTATCCATGTGATTTACATTGCAGAGACACAAAGATGTCAAACTTTAGAAATAGTATACTTGTAATAATTTGTGGTAAGTTATTTGTGAATAGTTTTTTATTTATTCTATATTTATTCTTCCTGGCATTTTCTATATGTAATATTTTTTAATTTATAGGAATATGTTGCACAGCAGCACTTCCTAAAGAAATCTTGACAGCGCCAACATTTAGCAAAACTTATACAGTAAAAGGAACATTATATATACCATATGCTGAAATTCGAGAACCTTTCTATGCCTGGTATAATGGCAACAGTGGATCTAGCAGGATCGATTACTATGGAGGTATGCCAAAATAAAAACATTCTATTTATTCGTTTATTTTTAATTTAGATTGTTAAATATAGTATAATATAGTATAGGAATAATATATAAATCTGTTTCTTTGTTTAATAGGCATGGTTAAAACATTCCAATTGGCTAATAAAGGAAAATATGGAGCCAGCATAAAATTAGCGCCTATTACCACAGAGACTGTTAGCAATGAAGAAACATGTCTTCAAGTGAATGGTACTAATGATTTTAAGATACAACCTCAGACGATTGTTCCAGATACATCTGAAATGGAGGTAAATGAGATTATAACTGACAGTGATTTCATAACTGGTAATATAATTGGGAAAGGATAATTCTATATAAAAGAATACATTAAAATGTAGAATAAACTTTTGTATACAAAATTTTGTTCTCAAATAATTTTAAATATTCATCTGGTCTGTAAACATTTAATTATGTTTGGATTCAATTGACTTCATTATATTGTTTTTATATATATATATATTTTTTTAAATAAATATTTATATTTATGTTTATATATTTATATATTTATAAACATTGTCACAGAGAATAACAAAACTGTTTTGTATCAGTTTTGCTAGTTTATCTTGTAATCTTTATTCCTTTATCATCACAGTAATGAAAAATATGTGGATATGATTCTTATGTAGGTATGGTAATGATATTTCTGCAATTACTGCCAAGATCGATCCTAACTATTATTGTGATGAATCAACCGATTATATAATCAGATATAGTTGAATGCACACAAGATGAATGCAAAAAGATTATTTTTCTTGGAAATAAAGAATGTATAAAATATATTTTTTTTATATTTCATGTGAAAAAATTTTATTCTACATTTTTAATTTCACAAGACTCACTCTCTTTAATTATACCATTGTTACGAAATATTTCTTTGTCTAATAATAATTTATATGTTTTATACAAATATATATGCAAATATTTAATGAAATCTACATACATATATAGTGTATTGGAGAGGAAATGATCAATGGATTATTGTGTGAAAAATGGCGACTTGTACAAGAGATCGGGGAAAAAACGAATAAGTACACTCTCTGGATACGTTATAAGGTAAGAAAATTTATATCTGTGTAAAATAAATGAAATCTGCAGTATCCAAAAAAAAATTATCTTTACAGAAATCACCATCTCTACCAAGAGCTAAGGAGCCTATTCCTGTGAGATATGAAATGAGAGGATTTAATAGTTTGCTAGGTTCACATTACGATCATTATTACATAGAATATGATTGGTATTCCTTTGACAAACCTTCTGATGATGTCTTTAAAATCATAGAAGGTACGTAAAATCAATATACATTTTCCCGCTGATTAATTCTAATATTTTTATATCGAAATCGTAGTTATGAAGAAAATTATTTGCAGATATTAAGTGCGTAAGTTTCCCGGGCCCAGGTGAAAATCATATATACACATTTAATCCAATGCGTGAATTCATTCATAATTATGAAGATCATTTACATGTAGCATTTGACAAATTCAAAAAAACTCACAACAAAAATTATAAAAATGACTTGGATAACATGTATCGTAAAGACATATTTAGACAAAATATAAGGTATGCTTTACGTTTATGCTTTACGTATAAGTTATTATATTATTTTTAGTCTAAAAATATTTTGGATATTTTATATAAATAATTTTCAGATTTATTCATTCTACAAATCGTGCCAATTTGGGTTATCAATTAGATGTAAATCATCTAGTAGATCGTAGTGATCTGGAATTGAAGGCTTTACGAGGAAAGCAGTATACTCCAGGTTATAATGATGGAGCATCGTTTCCGCATGATATCGAAAAGGAAATCGCAGATGTACCCGACAGTATAGATTGGAGATTATATGGTGCTGTCACACCAGTCAAAGGTTTATAATTTTGATGTTATATGTAATTATATATAACGTGTGTATGTGTGTATGTGTGTGTGTGTGTGCGTGCGTGTGTGTGGTGTGATAAGTATACATATATATTTATACGTATATAAATATATTTGATTTAAATAGATCAATCTGTTTGCGGTTCTTGTTGGAGTTTTGGTACTACTGGCACGGTAGAAGGTGCATATTATATGAAATATAACAAATTAGTGCGTCTATCTCAACAAGTAAGCAATTCGTAAAAGTATTCAGATTTACCACAAACTTTTGCTATTTAATTGATTATTAGTTTTTATTTTGGTTTTCTTTTTTTGTATAAACTTAAAATACATATACATAATTCTAAGCTTATATCGCGCAAATGAATGATAGTAAAATATTGATGTTATAGGCTCTCATTGATTGTTCATGGGGTTTTGGTAATAATGGCTGTGATGGTGGAGAAGATTTCCGTTCATATCAATGGATGATGAAACATGGTGGCTTACCTACTGAAGATGATTATGGTGGTTATTTAGGACAGGTAAATTATTATTATATTAAATATTATTTATTAAATATTGATAATGATGATAAATATTGATATTGATATATAATTTTATTAATATTATTAATTTAATAATGTACAAGAAAAAAGAATTTCTTTTTTCTTTCTAGGATGGCTATTGTCATATAAATAATGTAACATTGACAGCTAAAATCACAGGTTTTGTTAATGTCACTCCGCGAAGTGTAGAGGCTTTGAAAATTGCCATTGCCAAACATGGCCCTATTTCTGTTGCTATCGATGCTTCCCACAAAACATTCTCCTTTTATTCTCATGGAATATATTATGATCATGCTTGTGGTAAAATTTTATCTATAAACTTTTATTTATAATTTTAGAAAAATATTTCATATAAGAGTTTGTTATTCAATAAATAATTGTATTCATATATACAGGCAATACTGAGGATAAATTAGATCATGCTGTTTTGGCCGTTGGATATGGCACTATGGATGGAAAAGGCTATTGGCTGATAAAGAATTCTTGGTCGAATTACTGGGGCAATGATGGGTACATTCTAATGGCTCAAAAGGATGATAATTGCGGAGTTCTTCTCGCTCCTACATATGTTACTATGTAATTATGATTTTGTTTCTAAAGATTACTTATTTACGCTCTCTAATATTCGCAATAAATAAATATATATTAAAATATAATTGAAAAATGGAGAGGCTACATAAAATACGCATAATTGTTTAGCTACATATTTCATGATAAACAACAAAATGTAATCAATTGTTGAAGATTTACTATAGAAAAATGTGATTATTATAATGAATAAAATAAAACATTTTGTAACTAAAAGAAGCGTCTTATTAAATAATTTTTATTACTATTTCAAAAGGTGAAGAATTAAGAGTAAGATAAAAATATTAATTTTATATCAAACAAAATTATTATTTAAATTTAAAGTACAAATAAAGAACAGCAGAAATAAATTGATTTGCGGAATTGAAATAGGCGTATATATATGTAAAACAGAATCTTATAATATCGATTTATTTTCAGAATAGCTGATATTAAATTAGTACCACATATAATTTAACATAGACTTGATGCATAGACAATTTTTTTACCAAAGGATAAAGTTACTATCACGCTTGCATTTTTCTTTTTTTCTTAGACACAGTTATTACATATTTTCAATTATATTTTTTTAATAGCTTTGTGTTATAACGAATAATACGATATATATTCAGAAAATTTTTATAAACTGTTTTTACACATAACGATGTCAACCGTAATTAGCAACTATACTAATTCGTTTCTTCTTTTTTGTTATATTATTTAGTGCATTTTTCCATTTGTCAAATAGCCTTGTACAATTCCAAAATATGTATTATATAATATCTTTACAAATATATAAATACTTCTCCTAGTGCATTTGTCCAGTAAGAATGTTATATGGTGTACCGTATAATTGATATGGATACTTTCAAAATATACATTAATGCTGCTTATAACTATATTTGCGACATAGAAGCTAAAGGAATGTAGAAAAAAGATACACGCGTGGTATGACAAACACAATTATAAAGCACAAACACAATTATAAGGTATAATTAATGGAAATGTATACGGTAAAAAAATTTGTGTTAATTTTAATATACATTGTGTGTGCCGAATTGTTATGTTAATTTAACATAATATAGACGTATGGTAAATTAACAATTAACAATTATGTTAATATTTTAATATGAAATGAATATAATCTTTATTGAAATATGTAATATAGAATTACATTATTTTTGTTGTGAAATTAAAAATGATATTAATTTTTTTTCAGAATTATTTCAATAATTTTAATTTAGTTAAATATTAAAGTCAAGAAAACAATTTAATTTACACAACAAATATATTAATAAGCATCTTAAACACAAAAATTTTCATCGATACATTTTTTAACACAAAGGACTTATATTTTTTATTCTATAACGTCAGATTAATTTCTTGCAATAAATTGCACGTAGAAATGTCGTGTTATATTGATTGAGCTATAACTATACTTAACAGTTCGCAAAAAATTATGTAAATCCATACAAGTTGCGCAAATATCAATGAAAAAATTGTTATTACAATCTATTGTATAGTGTAAAAATCGTTTGATTTTTGTCATAATTATAAGAAAAAAGAATGCGAACGTACGTAGAGCGTTTAAGTACATGAAAGGTATATTATATGTATACTTTTCACAGATTCCGTTTCTCGATTTATATATATTATCGTATAGTACACGTGACTAAGAGTCAACGCTAGAAAATCGATCGAAAGTTTTATTATACATAAATCTTCTTCGAATTTTCTTCGCTATCGCTAAAAATCTTACTTTCATTCTATATCACTTGCGAGCGAGATGCCCGACCAAACTCATGAATCATTTTAATATCGGCGAATATAACTATGACAATTGCGAAAGTATCAACTCTCCCTTTACGTATATTATACACGATAACGTTATAGGAATAATAAGAGTTCCAGAAAAAAGAGAATGAGGAAATGCATGTGTGTTAATTTGTGTGCTAATGTTTTTTACTAATTGCATAGGAATATGCGCCAGTTTTCCATATGACCAAGACGATACCAAAGACGTTTCCGGCGGAGATTGTTATACTTTTGATTAAAGGAATCCCATTTCTAAGGCAGTATACAGGGCTTGAGTGTCCGAATGACTGTTTATCCTCCAAAAGGGAAAATTGTGCGCCCGCGCTGCCGTTTCCTCATCCGAATCATCACCTATCACCACGTACGTACATCTACGGCCAAATCGGGCAACCACTCTACCGAAACAGCTCTCCTTTCCTGAAACGAGAATGTAACTTTATTATATGAAGAAACAGTTTTACTGACGCATTTAAAAATTTGACCAAATTCAACTCTGAATATAATTTTGTTGGACTATCAAAATATTTTTTAAATGTAGGATGTACAAATTAATTGTTAGAATATCAATTCTTGCAATATTCATCTTGCATAATTATTTTAAAAGTTCAATAAAATCTGACCAAATTTTTAAATATTTTAACAAAGCTATTCTTTTCTATACAATTTTTCTATACAATTATAAAAATAGTGTAGAAATGATCAAATATTTCATCTGTTTCGTCTATTTTATATTTTTCTGATTTTAATTGGGCAAACTATAAAGTTGCTCTGTTTGTCACTTTATAACGTGATCGTTTTGTGATTTGATAATTACCAATTTTAGAGGCCGAATATATATTCTCTATGGGAAATATTCCACCGAGGCCGAAAAGCAGAACTTTGGACAGCGCGGGTACCAGTTGCGTGGTCGTCACCAGGATATTGATACAGTGAGTTCTCTTGTTAATAATGTTCAGACACTTCACCGCTGACGTCAACCAGTTGTCGGTCAACCCCTCGATGTCGGTACGCAGCTGCAGCCATTGCTCGCGTTTGGTCGCACCCAAAAGGCCACCTACGTTGTTCCGATAATTGCAATAGATCTCCTTGATCTTGCGATAACGAAACGCGAGTTTTCTCATCCAGTCGACGCCGCCTCGCACACCGGATGCCAGGCATATACCGTTGTTCGCGGTCGCACACTGAAAGCCGTCGGTCGCGAAGTTGTAGGACGACAGGTCCTGCCCGTTGTCGTCCGACGAAACATCGTCTATGTGTACTTGATCGCAATCCTACGAAGAAGAAGAAAATAATACGTTCAATTTGCATTCGAGCGTATAAATAATTACACACAATTGTTAGATCGTGTAAAACACATGGTCTCAACATGGTCCATCTAGACATCAGGATTTTTTTTGAATTTCCGAACAGAAGTATTCAGAAAAATATTTTTTCATGTTCGTACCACAGGTAATGATTGATGAAGTTGTAGTGTTTGTAAAAGTCACATATGCTCAACTTATGGATACATACATATGTCGAACAGGCAATGTTCAGATCAAATATTTCAAATATTATCATGAATTTATGGACAATAATATTAAATAACATTTTTTAAAAGAAAACGCTTCTTGGAAAATGATGGAGAACATAAAATCATAATCGAGAAAAAATAGTGACCATGTTTCAAGATTTACTGCCTATTGAAAATATATGGTCCGTGTCACATATATTATATTTTTAGTATTGAGTAATTGAGTATTGGAACCCAGTGTATCAGGTATTATATATAATAATAGTTAAATAATTGCATAAAATAATAAAACAATCTTCATAAAAAAATGTTTCCCAAATTTATCTTTTAGAAAAATTATTCCACTTGGTGGTGAACACCGATCCTGAATAAAATTTACATATGCCAGGAAATCACCTCGACGTCATTGAAGAAAAAGTGCGTGTCCGCCAAGTTGAATATCATCTCTTCCATCCTGTACGCCACTTGAGCCAGGTGGGCTGGATCCTTACGGTGCTTCTGGGCGAATTGTCCAGTTAACAAGGAGTGAAACACAACTATGGTTTCGTCGAGATCCCAGATAAATATACGCTCGGGGCCGGCTTCCGTCGTATCCGCGGAACCGATACTATTTCCACTTCCGCTCTGTCTCCTTCCGCGCCTGCATGGCTTCGTCGCTGCCACTGCAAATTCATTCACACAGATCGCATCGATATTTCTATATACATTATATATACGAATATATTTTTTTCTCCTTATTCTTTAAAAAATCGTCGATTATACATATTATATAAGATTGTGTAATATTACCTTCGATGTTTGCGGTTTCCCTTGCGGTCAGATCGCTCACATCGTGCGTCGTTGGATCCAACGTGAGCGCGGACTTCGTCGAGTCTTCTTATACACAGGAAACGATCGTTAATTGTGATTATTTAATGAACGAAACGTTAAACATATAAATAATTTTTTTCTGAATTGTTTTATACACATGCCGCTTATCTTAGAAGTGGTTTAAGTCCAGAGAATTTGAAGTGTCTTGATATCAACATGTTCTTTAATATCTTTGCTTTTCAAAATTGATCTTAAATCGTATTCCAATTAAACAACTTGTTTTTACTTTTGTTATCACCGCAATAATTCATGCAGACATTATATTATTTTTCTAGAGAAATTTAATTTTACTTCTTGTGAAAAAAAAAAAAAAAAAAAAGAAAGCTTCTAACAGTAGAGGATTACCAGCAAAGTTGATGTTTCCAATATTGAACGAGGTCGGCGGAGCGTGATAACCGGGCACGGAATAATATCCGGGATACTGGAGCGGTACCCTGTCATTTCCGTACAAACTACTGCTGTAAGCGCTATAATCTAATTTCTGTGAAAGAAGAGGAGAAAAAGTCATTCGCAATTCGGAATAGAATTCAATGACGGGACGTGAAATCGTATGTCACATCGTGGCGCGTTCATTCTCACCTGAGAGGCCGACGATATATTTTGTGCCACGTTCGGGAAGGTCGTTGTCCCGCTGTTATAACTGGCATAGGACGGATACTGCGTCATCGAGCTCGACGATGTATAGGAGCTTAGGTATGAGTTCTGCAAGCTCGATACGTTTTTCGAAGCTGTCGTTGACCCGTAAGCCGGCGAGTTGTAGAGGCTGCGGAAGAATCATGACGAAAAATGAAATTTGTTCAACGATCAAATAAATGCATGAGATTAATTTTATTAAAAAAAAATTAATTATTTTTTTCAAGAGATTTCTTTCTCGTGTACTTTCGGCAGATAACTTTTTTTCGTCAATCATGTTTTTTAAAGTAAAATCGATCGCTGGATTAATGATTTATCTGATAAATTCATGTTTAAATACCTGTTGTAATATTGATTGACGCCGTACACGGATCCGTAATCCGCCTTTTCCATCGAATCCGGATACTCCTGCTCCTTCTCCTCGGCATTCTCGTCGATGTAGAGTTCACCACCGGGTACACTATCATTCTCGGGACAGTCCTGCACCTCATTCTTAACTTCGGTCTCTTGTTTGAAAACGAATAAGTATTCTGTTTATATAAATACTAGCATATGATTTATTTTTATTTAACCGTGATTTACGGAAAAAGTGATTTTGTTTAAATATCTAAAAATTGGAATAGATACAAAAATCTGAAAATAAATTTTATTAATTTTATTAATCAAAGTAACACAACATATTTAAACATGATGATTATACTGTAAAAAGTTTTTATATTGCAGCAATCAATTTGATCGTGTTACGCATATAAATATTTTGATGGTTCGACAAAATTTCAGCTCTGCATCTATGATTAATTTTTAAATATTTCAGCAAAATAGCTTTTTTATGTCAGAATATTATCACTCTTTTAATTATAGTATTTTCCAAAAATGGATGATTGAAAATAAATATGGAAATAATGGAGAAAAATATTGAGATGCAAAACATTTGAACTATCATAGTGAAATAGATATAGCAAATGAACACCTACTAATGAACAGCTACTAGTGAACAATCAATTATCAATTTTATTTCAACTTTTATTTTTAGAAGTGTTGCGTAAAGATAATGAAGCTCGATCATTTAAATCTGAGAAGTTATTAAATTTCACGATGGCGATGTATTTATTTAAATAAATATATAATTGTATAACGTTAAATAAATATATTATTATATAAATATATAATCAACCGACAGCACATTCTACGCCAATGCAGCTGCATCTTCTATCTACCATTGTTTGCGGCGCGAGGATGCTGTACCGAGGCTTCTGTTGAGGAAGACACGTTGCCAGCATTGTCTAAAACCCCTGCTGGTTTCGTCGGATCATTGTCTTCGGTTAACATATCACTCTATCTGTAATAACATAAATCGCTGATTTTAATTTATCTCTCTTTTATTTCTGAGAATGTACATAAAGGAAATTATTACAAAAGAATAAATCCAACAAGATAGGATCGCGATTTATAACTTAAAAAATTCTTAAGTCTCTATATCTTTGTCGGAAAGATTAATTCTGAAATAAAAAAAAAAAGAAAGAAAGAAAAGGAGAAAAAACTTTAATAAAAATCGTAAAGCTTATTATCAATAGAAAAATAATGTATAATGTATTATTCTAACGATTTATAATTTAATGATGCACGTGAAGTTTGTGACTTTAGCTCCGATATGAGTGAATTTCTGTGGTAAAGTATTAATA